CAGTTTGTGTTGGACTCAATGTGAATTTTAATCGGTACAATACGTTTGATAGGGCTACTGGTTCAGAGGGATTTGTCATTTCTCAGTGTAATTACCGTTTCATTGCCAGTTTTATGAATTTATAATGAAACAGTGTTGCTGGGTGGAATATCTATCTGTTTTTAACCATTTTAATAGTGTGACTAGTACTATTATTACTATTATTATTACGACTGCTACTATTACTATTACTATTACGACGGGTACTATTATTATTACGACTACTACTATTGCTATTACGACTACTACTATTACGACTGCTACTATTACTATTACTATTATGACTACTACTACTACTACTGTTACTGCTACAAATAATAATAGTAATAAAGTAAACATTTTTATAATGTGTTTAACCATTGTACTAAAGGGATTAAATCATAAAATAATCAAAAACACATATTAACTAAACACTCATCAACATAATTTAAACATATCTATCATAACTTAATCTATAAAGTCAGTAAACACAATTCTGAGATTTTGAAAAGGTTTTTATTTTTTCCAGGTTACGTAAACACATTCTTAAAATACAGACTTTTTTCCAGGTTACATAAATCCAAACATAAAATACCGACTTTTTTTTCCAGGTTACATAAATCCAATCTTGACAAATCGACCTGGTTTTTTTCCCCCTTTCTTCCAGGTTACGTAAAGACAAGTAATATATTTAAAAAAAAAAACATTCCCATGGTGATAATTCGGCGAGGTGGGTTTAAAGAGACACACTAAGGTGACACTAAAGATTAATGGTGTCAATAAATCACCCAATGACTAGCCTTATACCCTGAAGCTGCTGCCATGATGCTAACCTAACCTAACCTAACCCGGAGGCACTGACCATTGAGGCACTTGGGTACAAACACATGTATATAAATTCAGGTATATACATGCATGGATACACACTAAATATATATACTTTGTACAGTATATATATTCATGCATACATAGTCCTTCATACACATATCTATCTATGTTATATATCTACACATATGCATGGAGAGATCCTGCTACACACACACACACACACACACACACACACACACACACACACAAGCCCTCATATAATACCCATTCTTACATATATACACACGATATTCACACACACACACACACACACACACACACACACACACACACACAAGCCCTCATATAATACCCACTCTACATATATACACGATATTCACACACACACACACACACACACACACACACACACACACACACACACACAAGCCCTCATATAATACCCACTCTTACATATATACACACGATATTCACACACACACACACACACACACACACACACACATATAAACATACACCAGAGCCTCTCGAGTCGACACCCTGGACTTATTGTAGTTGTCGGTAGCTCAGAAGAGAGGAGGCGGTGTGTGTGTGCCATCAGTAAGACACTTCATGTTTCCCAGCCCAAGTGAGGAGACAAGCTGCCCTGTGATGTGTAAGCCGGCTGTGTGGGTGACGATGCGTACACACACACACACACACACACACACACACACACACACACACAGACACACAGACCTAGTAATCTAATAAATGGATGAATAATCGTGAAAAATATAGTGAATGATCCTGTACACTACCTGAGAGAGAGTTCCCCCCTCCCCGCTATCTTCCCTTATACACAGCGGATGTAAAAGAAAAAATTATTCACACGGAATCATTACATTATTTTCCCCCTCCCACGTGTAGCTTCTAGGTTATTGACGTGATGGTGGTTGGCAATTTACATATTTTCATTTTTTTTTTGTTTCTGAAGGTGAAGACGATGGGGGAGTCTGTTTATAAGGAGAGTACAGATGGCAGCCCCCAACGACAGCAGCCCCAACGACAGCAGCCCCCCAACGACAGCAGCCCCCCAACGACAGCAGCCCCAACGACACAGCAGCCCCCAACGACAGCAGCCCCAACGACAGCAGCCCCCCCAACGACAACAGCAGGCCCCGACGACAGCAGCCCCAACGACAGCAGGTCCCAACGACAGCCCCAACGACAGCAGCCCCCAACGACAGCAGGCCCCAACGACAGCAGGCCCCAACGACAGCAGCCCCCAACGACAGCAGGCCCCAACGACAGCAGCCCCCAACGACAGCAGGCCCCAACGACAGCAGCTCCCCCCAACGACAGCATTCCCCCAACGACAGCAGCCCCCAACGACAGCAGCCCCAACGACAACAGGCCTCAACGACAGCAGCCCCAACGCATTAAGCAGCCCCCAACGACAGCAGCCCCAATGACAGCAGCCCTCAACGACAGCAGCAGGCCCCAACGACATCAGGCCCCAACGATCAGCCCCCAACGACATCAGCCCCAACGAGACAGCAGCCCTCCCTCAACGACATCAGCCCCACGACAGCAGCAGCCCCCGAGGACAGCAGCTCCCCGAAATCAGCCCCCGACGACGGCAACAGCCACCAACGATAGCGGGCACCGATGACGTACGCCCCAACGACGACAGCCATCACCATCCCTGAGGGAATGAATACTGAGAAGCCAACACAAGTCCTTAATTAAGACAAGAACATACAAAGAATAATATAAGGTGCGTCTAAGCTTGAGCTATCTCCCCCACCCCCACCCCCTTTCCCTCTACCTCCTCCCCCTCTCTCTGCCCCTCTCCCCCACCCCTCTCCTTCTTTCCCTTCCACATCTCCTCACCTCTCCCCCGAGTCGTGTGCATCCGATGTTGCTCTCTGTTTTACCGTCAACACACCCACACACACACACACACACACACACACACACACTCACACACACACACTAGAGACTTGTGTACAGGTTTAGGTAAATGTATGCAAATGTTAGTCCAGGTCTTATTGTTGACGGGATTATATATTATTTATTTGTATATATGATTTTATAGTATATGTTATGAGATGAGAGTTTATTTTTCATATATCATGGTAGTGTTTTGTTAGTTTAAGCCGTATATCAGGTTAGTGTTTAGGTATATCACGGTAAAATTGTGTTAGATGTCAGGTCATTTATATATCAAATATTAGGTTCAAATCTCAGGTCATTCCTTTGTTATCTCAGGTCAAAGCTATGTTAGGTCATTTATCTATCAAATATTAGGTTCAAATTTCAGGTCTTTCCTTTGTTATCACAGGTCAAAGCTATGTTAGGTCATTTATCTATCAAATATTAGGTTCAAATTTCAGGTCTTTCCTTTGTTATCACAGGTCAAAGCTATGTCAGGTCATTTATCTATCAAATATTAGGTTCAAATTTCAGGTCTTTCCTTTGTTATCTCAGGTCAAAGCTATGTCAGGTCATTTATCTATCAAATATTAGGTTAAAATCTCAGGTCATTCCTTTGTTATCTCAGGTCAAAGCTATGTTAGGTCATTTATCTATCAAATATTAGGTTCAAATTTCAGGTCTTTCCTTTGTTATCTCAGGTCAAAGCTATGTTAGGTCATTTATCCATCAAGCATCAGGTCAAATCTTAAGCAGTCATTTCATTTTATCTCAGACTCTCTTTCCATAATCACAAGGTCAACATTCCGCCATTTAAAGGTCAGGTCAAGTCAGATCAGGTCAGCAAGAGTCAGGTGCTACTACAAACGTCGTCATCATCTCAAAAAAGGAGAACAAGAATAAAAAATTTCCACACGTTGCAGTTTTTTCCGATTTTATTGTTGAAGGGGAATCATTCTTGGAGTTGTGGGGCTCGCTGGAGTAGTGTTGGAGATGTGAGGGGGAGTAAAATGTTGGAGTAATGTTGGGGATATGTGTATGTGTGAGAGAGAGAGAGAGAGAGAGTGAACAGAATGCTGACGTGTGTGTGTGTGTGTGTGTGTGTGTGTGTGTGTGTGTGTGTGTTGGATATTCAGTGTGTACATGATATACAGTATTAGTATAGGACCATCAACTAAAACGAAGGTGTGATTACGTCCATATAATACTCGTGTACGTGTTTATGTGTACGTGTGCGTGTACGTATGTATGTGTATATATCTACATCATCACAAGTATGGATTCTAATGAGGTGGAAAACATCGCTACATACCAGAGAGAGAAACACGAATATAAGAAATAAATAAATAAACGAAAAATCCATCGGGCAGGACTAAGAGAGGAGGTAGACAGAGTACGATGGTGGAGGACGATAAGAGTGGGGGGGTGATGACCAGATCCTTCACTGGACGATAAGAGTGTGTGGGGTGATGACCAGATCCTTCACTGGACGATAAGAGTGTGTGGGGTGATGACCAGATCCTTCACTGGACGATAAGAGTGTGTGGGGTGATGACCAGATCCTTCACTGGACGATAAGAGTGTGGGGGGGTGATGACCAGATCCTTCACTGGACGATAAGAGTGTGTGGGGGGGGTTATGACCAGATCCTTCACTGTTCACTCTTATCTTACCAAGAGACAAAGTGAAGGAAGCACAACAAACTCCTGCACCACAATTGGGGATCAACACTGTTTAGTCTTGTTGTTAGAGTTTGTCTCATTCCACCACCATGTTTCCTTGTTTCCTCTTATAAGATTAAAACCAACTCTTCAATGAGGGAAAACAAATACATATCAAAAACCTAATCTAATCAAATCTAACCTAACCAACCTAACCTAACCTAACCTAACTTGGCTAACCTAACCTAACCTGCCTAATCTAACCTAACCTAACTTGGCTAATCTAACCTAACCTGCCTAATCTAACCTAACCTGCCTAATCTAACCTAACCTAACCTAACCTGCCTAATCTAACCTAACCTAACCTAACCAACCTAACCTAACTTAACCTGCCTAATCTAACCTAACCTAACCTAACCTAAAATTCGTGTTCATATGTAAGATAATTAAGTATAGAATCTTATTTTCTTTATTACTCGACTCTGAAGATTTTTGTTTATTTTTTTTATGTTAAATCCCCACAAAAAATATATAAAGTAATAAATAAAGTCACACTTAAAGATTTCAAAAGCAAAGTTTCTATAATTTGTCGATGACTAAATTATATTCCATGACATCACAAGGCACTTAAATCTAACACGAAAGAATATAATTATCAGAAATTCCTCTTTTTATTTTATTTTTTATTTTATTTTTTTTTTAGGGGTGTGGGGGTGTGGGGGGATATCAGTTCATTGACCCAGACGAGTAAATGAACAAATTTAATTATGATTTTTATGCATTGATTCAAATGAGGGAAAAGTTGGTTACGCTAGCTTAGGTTAGGTTAGCTTTGATTAGGTTAGGTTTAGCTTTGATTAGGTTAGGTTTAGCTTTGATTAGGTTAAGTTAGGTTACAATTTTATGCACTGATTCAAATGACGAAACAGGTTGACATATTTCACTCAGGTATAAAATTATTATTGTATATGGACTCCAAATCATTTTAAAAGTCTGATTCGGAAACTGTTTTAAGCCATTGAAAATTTTTATATACGAATAGTTTCTTAAAATAATCTGTGGTTGATATTATCTCTGATTATAAGGATGTGTATGTTGTCTTATTATTATTATTATTATTATTATTATTATTATTATTAGTAGTAGTAGTAGTAGTAGTAGTAGTAGTAGTAAAGTAGTATTATTATTGTTGTTGTTGTTGTATTTGTTGTTATTGTTGTTGACGTTATCATCATCATTATTACTCTTGATGTTTCTTATATACCTTAATATCACTGTTAGTCTTAATACGATAAGAACTTAGTATATATTAAAGAAAGAAATAAGTTGATATTTTCCTCGGTGTAATACGAGTCATAAGCCCTGCTGGCGCGAGGTTATAGTCACGGAGTAAGAATGACGCCATATTTAGGCCTCAGAGTCGTAACCACAACATAAACACATCAAACTAGCAAGAGAAAGGCGCTAAGATTATAACACAAGGCGCTAGATTATAACACAAGGCGCTAGATTATAATACAAGGCGCCAGATTATAAAGGCGCCAAGACACTGAATTATAACACAAGGCGCTAGATTATAACACAGGCGCTAGCGCCAGATTATAACACAAGGCGCTAGGCGCTAGATTATAACACAAGGCGCGGGGATTATAACACAAGGCGCTTTATTATAACACAAGGCGCTAGATTAGATTATATTATAACACAAGGCGATAGATTATAACACAAGGCGCTGAGATTATAACATAATACATGGCCAATTATAACACGGCGCTAGATTATAACACAAGGCGCTAAATTATAACACAAGGCGATTAACAAGTGATTATAACACAAAGGCGCTAGGCGCTGATTATAACACAAGGCGCTGGGGACAGATTAAACAAGGCGCCAGATTATAACACAAGGCGCAGAATTAAGGCCAGAGTAACACAAGGCGCTAGATTATAACACAAGGCGCCAGATATAGATTATAACACAAGGCGATATTAAACACAAGGCGCCAATTATAACACAAGGCCAGATTATAACATTAAGGCACTAGATTATAACACAAGGCGCTAGATTATAACACAAGGCGCTAGGATTATAACACCGGCACTAGATTATAACACAAGGCGCTAGATTATAACACAAGCGCAGAATTATAACACGGGCATATGATTATAACACAACGCTAGATTATAACACAAGGCGCTAAGATTATAACACGGGCGCTAAGATTATAACACAAGGCGCTAGATTATAACACCGGGCACTAGATTATAACACAAGGCGCTTATAAGGCGCTAGATTATAACACCAAGGCGCTAAGATTATAACACAAGGCGCTAGATTATAACACAAGTTAAACACCGCGGCACTAGATTATAACACAAGGCGCTAATTATAACACAAGGCGCTAAGATTATAACACAAGGCGCTAGATTATAACACAGGCGCTTTATAACACCGGGCACTAGAATTATAACACAAGGCGCTAAGATTATAACACAAGGCGCTAGATTATAACACAGGCGCTAGATTATAACACAAGGCGCAGATTATAACACAAGGCAGGCACAAGGCATAGATTATAACACAAGGCGCTAGATTATAATAGAGGAGGACGCTTTATGATTTTTTCCTGGCTAATATAATTTGTTCTTCAATCTTGTATTGTGTTGTGTGTCGTATGTGTTGTGTGTCGTATGTGTTGTGTGTCGTATGTGTTCATGTGTGTGTGTTCGTGTCGTGTTGTGTGTGTCGTATGTGGCGTATGTGTGTCGTATGTGTTGTATGTATGTGTTGTGTGTCGTATGTGTTGTGTGTCGTATGTGTGTGTGTGTGTGTATGTGTTGTGTGTCGTTGTGTGTGTGTCGTATGTGTTGTGTGTCGTAGTTGTGTCGTATGTGTTGTGTGTCGTTGTGTGTTGTGTGTCGTATGTGTGTGTGTCGTATGTGTTGTGTGTCGTATGTGTAGTGTGTCAGTGTCGTATGTGTTGTGTGTATGTGGCGTTGTGTTGTGTTGTTGTGTGTGTGTTGTGTCGTTTCCTATCTCGTGATATGTGTCATTTCATGTGTCGTGTCGTGTCATG